ACAAACCCCCGCCCGCAGCTCTTCCGTAGCCCCCCGAACCCGTCCGGCCCCGCGCCACGGGCGGATGGCGGCGGATTCAGCCCCGCGCGCCCCTCAGCGCTGCCACCGCCTCTCACCATCTTGGACGCAGTGCGAGAAAGAGGGAGCGGGGCATGCTGGGTAAGATATGTACGGGGCTCAGATCGCGTCAAGTCTCGCGAGAGTAGGAGGGAGCTGGGGAGGCTGCGCGGGAGAGCTTCCGCCTTGCGTCTTAAAGGGGAAGGCGCCGTGCGAGCCGGGGTGGGTGGTAATTACTGTATTTGTGCAATTATTTCAACCGTAGGATACGGGGAGTGTTCAAGAGGTACGACAGAATAAGGACTCGTGGTGGAGATGATAATGTCTTATCAGACCAACTAGATTTTTGCAAGAAAAAAAAAATTTGCAACAAAAGTTTTTGCAAAAATCTTTTTTTTTGCAAGCCTTTTTTGCATTTTCTTGCAAACTTTTTTCTTACAAACATTTTTCTTTTTGTATTTTCTTGCAAACTTTTTTTTTGCAAACATCTCTTTATTTTTTTCTTTTTTTTTTCTTGCAATTTTTTATTTTTTGCAAACATCTTGTTGGTCTAATAAAAGATATCACCTCTACCACAAGTCCTGATTCCTTTTACCTGTAAACCAATACAGCTACAACCTGGATACCTGACAAAATGTGCGATGGCATCCAGGCTGCAGCCGTGTTGGTCTAGAGGCAAAAAGAATCCACGCTTGTGGAAGAGGTGATATCTTTTATTATTATGATTCCAAACAAATTACTGCATTGATCTCCAAGCTTTTGGGCACGCTCACCCTTCATCAGGCATACAAGAGAGCAGAGATTGTAAAAGTTCTCCTAGTTCTTCATTTCTATCTAGGAGAACTGATGAAGGGTGAGCATGCTCAAAAGCTTGCAGATCAATGCAATAATTTGTTTGCAAATATCTAGTGGGTCTAATAACAGATGCCACCTCTTCCACAAGTTTGGATTCTAAAATGTAGAGAACAGAAAAATCATAGTCATAAATTCAGCTGAACCAGCTGGAGAAAGAGTGAAACCAAATGTCATTGGTGTAGTGTCAAGTGGAGAGGCAGGATGTGGCGATAACCAGGGATCCTTGCTTTCTCCGATTAAAAAAAAAAAAAATCCCCAGTTTTTGGTTTAAAAAAAAGTAACCTCAAATCCACATTTTCTATGATTAAAATGAAACACCACTGTGTGTGTGTGTGTGTGTGTGTGTGTGTGTGTGTGTGTGTGTGTGTGTGTGTGTGTGTGTGTTAGTGGTGTTTCATTTAAAATCACCAAAAAATGTGGATTTGAGGTTACATTTTTTTTTTAACTGAAAATTGGGATTTTGTTTAAATCAGCGAAAACCAGGACCCCGGATGTTAACAGCCTAAGGCAAAATGGTGTTACTTAAAAAAAACGCTTAGCTGCAGACTTATTTGCACATTTATTTGCAGCGCAGGATAGGTTTTTTTCAGATAACATTATCATCTGAGCTTCCAATACCATCATTTCATATTGAAGACTTGCAGCAAGGTGGAGCTGGGGGTGCCCCTGATCTGGGGCAGCGGGAGGCCTGCACCAGTCTCCCCCACCAGTGGATTTGGCCCTTGCATAGCCTCATGCGGCCAGAAGCTGAACACCCCAGCCTGGGCCATCCTCTCCTCGCACCCCCCACCCCCGCTCGGGGCCCTCTGGCACCTGCTCCCCCGCACAAGGCCAGAGGGGGACTCTGCCGCTTTAAGAGCTGGCTTGGGCGCTCAACCGCCCTTGAAATGGGTCGGGCCTTGATGGGCGTGTGAAACAACCAATCGGGGCAGAGGGGGCGGGCACGCGTGGAGCCCGGCGCGGGAGGTTGTGATGCCTGCTGGTGACCCTGCTCCTGGCAGGTGGGGGTCACAGCCCAGGCGATGGGGGGGAGGGGATGACCTCCATCTGGGACAGGAGCTAGACCTTGACCTTGACCTTCTTGAGGCCTGTCTCTGTCAAGAGCCGGCTGCATCACTGAGCTGGGGGCTGCAGGGCGTGGGGCGGGTGGGGGCCGCGTGGGAGCGCCCTGCTCTGCTGGGATGGGCCCTGGCAGGCTCCTGGGCCAGGTGGGAGCTCCCCCCCAGCTCCCCCCTGCTGCCCCCTACCTCTCTCGCAGCCGAGACCCGCCATGTCGCAGCCCCGCGTGCTGCCCCAGAGCAAGGAGACCCTGCTGCAGTCCTACAACAAGAGGCTGAAGGACGACGTCAAGTCCATCATGGACAACTTCACCGAGATCATCAAGACGGTCAAGGTGGGTGAGGGTCGACCCGGCCTCATGCCTGCGGTGCTCCCGTGGGCTCGGGAAAGCCAAGCCTGGCAGGCGCCAGACTCACTGGAGTAGAAAGCAGGGTGAAGATGGGCTGGAGGAGGGAGGCAGCAGGGTGGGAAGAGTCTGCCCGCCTGGGTGGGGGGAAAAACCCCAAGTCGTGATGCAAATCACGTAGCAACACCCAGTAGCAGGAGCCACGGCGAAAGGAACGAATGTGCAAGGGGCAAAAGGCTTAAAACCGTTTGGAGCAAAGCAGCATTGGCCGACGCTGCTGCATTGCACCCCTGAATGTCCCAGTGGGACCCTGATCGTTAGGATGGGGAGCAAGACTCGCTTGCACTGTGTTTCGAGGCACGGGAGCCGGGCGACCTGCTGAATAACCCTGTGCTAGCGGAGAGAAGACTCCAGTCTCTGGAGCAGTCTCTCTCTCAACAACCCACTGGTTCCCCAGTCCCTGGTTTTGGAGCAACAAGCCCTTATCAGCCCTTGGAGGAGGGAATTTCAGTCTTGCTACAGAGCTGCCTTCAGCTTTGAGATGTGTCAAGCAGCCTTGTCACTTTAGTGCTAGATCCCACATCGTTTGTGCATCCGTTGCTCTCGTCTACACCCAGCCTCTTTTCACTCCATTACTGGACACTTAGTTGCACATCTAGTAGCGACAAGAGTGAGGTATTAGAATAAGCACCAAGAGTGCTCAAGCAGCCATGTCGCTTCCTTAATTCTTAATTCTTTAAATTCTTAAATATGTATTTTTAATTATTCAACTTCCTCTTTAATTCTGGGCAAGAAAGTAAATCTGTCTTCAAAGTAAACTTGGTGTCTTTTGAAAATAGCTAAGCAGTCACATAAGGAGAGCATTTGCTCACCATACAGTTTTCTACATTTAGGAGGACCACACAAGTTTTCTCCTTCCTTACGGAAACCAACACATTTCATGCAACAAACGCATGTGCAACAAGTAGCTGTAGGTCAGAACAATCTTACCCTGAACCCATACTTCTTGAAGGTGACTCTTTAATATCCTTTAGCCTGTAACACCTTCAGAGCTGAAGGTTTCCAAGACTGTTTTCTGTTTTGTGGGTGTAATTCTTGCTACTTCCTTATTTAGGCTAATTGGCCAATGTTCCAGCATATACTTATGGAACAGCCTTCAGGACTGTGACCAGTCAGGATAGACCCTTTACTGTCCCCTGTCTCTCTTAATTTCAGGTTTCCTCTCTGAACACCCATGGGTAAGACAAAGCCCAATGAGCCACTATCAAAGCAGTACATCTCAGAGGGGATTTTCTAGTAGTGCTGAAAAAAAGTAGATTCTCCTCACCACACAAATAAGTGTAGACCGTCAGAAAAGATGCAAACCTCAGATCAAATATCTTGTCTCATAAGGAATATGCAGAGATTAATTAATCCTCTAATTGGAATCTACAGTAGAGGTGGCTGCACCTGAATGTGGGGAAGGTACAGATCCTTAGGTACAGATTTTATGAAGTGGTTGGGATTTTTTTTTGGATGGAAGGCACAATGTATATATAAAGTTATTGTGTCTATTGCTCGTTTCCATGATACTGTGGGAATATCCACATCATAACTGGGTTTGCAGGATGAGACCCTGAACTAACTTGATTAACAAATCCACGGGTAGGTTCAATGACTTCCCTCAAAATTTTCATTAGAACTTGAAGGATAGAAATGTTAGTTCAGCTCATTGGTAAATTGAACTGTGTGAGCCATGTGAACCACATGTACTCATCAAATGGAACTTTCTCCTCTTGGGATGCGGCTCTGCATTCACGTGTGCCAGGCCTGGTCCTCTCTCTTCATCAGGTTCTAGTAACTTTGCACAGGATGACAGGAGCAAATGGATGCAATGTTTGGCCTCATGGTTAGAATGAGTCTTATGAGTGAATTGCTGGTACCTAGCAGCTGATTTTATTATGGGATTATTAAAGAGCAGTTGGGTCAAACCGGCTTCTAGCTGGAATGCTGGAAAATCCTTGTGGGGTAAAGAATCATTGAAGATAACCAAAGGAACAGACTGGTGAACACTTTTCTTCAGAGCAGCAAGTTAACATGTGGGAAGAGTTCAGTGATCCAAGAGGATGCACCCTGGTTCTTCCAAAAGCATCCACCGTACAGGATCCAAAGACACGATTCCCTTTATGTATGAGTTGAACTGAAATAACACGTTCTAGGATGTTGGAATATTGAGCATTGAACTGAATGTTCACAACCTTCTTAATTCATTTTATTTTCAGATTGAGGATGAAACCCAAGTCTCCCGAGCAACCCAAGGTGAGCAGGACAACTACGAGATGCACGTCAGAGCCGCAAACATTGTAAGTAATACATGTGCGCAACATTAGCACCCTGAGGAGCAACATTTTTGGTATGCTCTGCAGTCCATTAAAGCATCCACGTGCAGACTTTGTATCAGTAATGTGCACTGCTGAGGTCAAAGCATTGGGAGTTATGCCACAGTGGATGAAAGATGATGGGTTTTATCACCTAATACACAGCATGGCTTTCCCAGTGCAACCAAGGGATTAATTTTCCATTTATTCTAGATTTCTCTCTTGGGATAACCCTAGCTGTCCTCTTCTGTTTTAGTGTTGCCCAATCGTAAGTGGTAAAAAGTGTGACTTGGACTCCTGATTTTCGGTGTTGATGCTCTCTGTTGCCTCTGGGAGGTCTCCAGACATATTTCTGGTTTTGTGCTGCTGAGCACTATGCTTGACCCTGGGGAAGATGACAGCACTGTGCATCTGTTCATTACACCTAGGACTGTGTAGTAGTCATGGTGTGCCTAACAGGTGTGCTGTGAGAATGCATTCTTTCTAGTATGACTGGCTGTTGGCGAAAGGGACACTGTCCCTAATGGGGACTCTCACATAAGAAAGTCTGGGGTCTGCGGTTTAAGGAGCAGATCCCCCTTCAGAACCAGGTAAAGTCTCCTCTGTACTCTTGTCTCATTTAAATAAAATATCACCCCCTCCCCCTCCACAAGGTCCGAGCTGGCGAGTCCTTGATGAAGCTTGTGTCTGACCTGAAACAATTCTTGATCCTCAATGACTTCCCCTCTGTGAACGAAGCTATCAACCAGCGTAACCAGCAGCTGCGGAGCCTACAAGATGAATGCGACAAGAAGCTGATTGCACTGAGGGACGAGATTTCCATTGACCTGTATGAGTTAGAAGAAGAATATTACTCTTCCAGGTACAAATAGGATGCCTGCCTACTAACAAGCCTCCTGCCCTTTTTGAGAACTGGTCTAGGAAAGCGAATAGTCCCTAGGACTCAAGGCTGTGGGGATGGTTCCCATTAACATCTACATTCCTGATTTTGAATTAGATCAAACTCTTCTTAAAGACATGGTGCTAGCAGAGTCATGGTAGGAGAGACCGAGTTTCTTTGTGTCAGTTCTTTCACAAGTGCCCTAATTATAGTGTGCCTTTTCCCAGAGGCCTACCGTCACCAGCTGTCTGGGTCTGTAAAAAATGAACCTTTTAAAATGAGTAAGCTGGACTCAATTTAGCTCAGTTCAGAGGGCCTGATTGTTTTAAAAACCTAGTATATTTTTTATGATGAAGTCTTTCAAAACTTCAGATACAAAATGGATTTTAGTGGATTCAGATACTTTTTTTCCCCCAGCTAAGCTTCCAATCTCAGACACTGCTAGTCAGTGAGGTCTAGTAAATGTAAGTGACTAGAATCAAATCCAAAATTAACTAGTTTGGTTCTATTCTCCAATTTGAGTAGGTACAATAGGTAAGAGTTAAGCAACACCCAGGCAACACATACTTGCTGTTTTAAAAATGCTTATTTTAATCTTTGGACCAATACATTGTGACCATGCTGGCATGGTCTTTTTTTTAGCCAGCCCTGGATGCCACAGAAAGTGACCTTTCATAGCAGAACTAATGGGGCTCTTAAGGTGAGAGATATTGGCTGTGCTATGGAGCTGTGCCTTTTACCAAATCCCATATCAAGTAGGTGTCCTTGGCTGTTTAGCAATTACTCCCTTTTCCCTCCCTTGCTATCAGCTAGCTTTATTTCTGCACCAAAGAAATACACAAGTGTGTCAATAGAGTAGCCCAGTGATTTATTAGAAGTTATTTCATGTCTACAGTAATAAGGTTTTTTTAATGGCATTTTATTGTCTGATGTGGGGATTGTTTTTGTATTCAAATGCACGTGGCATGTTAATGTTACTTGTGTTTAAATGGCTTTAAATATGTCAACATGTACCTTGAGTGGACAATGTGCACTCCTTTGGAGAGCCCGAAAGGAGTTCTGTAACTATCAACACTGTGAACCTCCTAAGGTCAAGTGGGTTTCTTTGTCTAGTAGGGATCTGATTTTGGTCCCAAGGAAATTACTAGGAGGCTTGCACCTTGCTGGGCGGGAGCACA